AGGAAGGAAGGAAGGAAGGAAGGAAGGGCTATGGTGACACAGTAGTTAGAATGCAGTTTTGCAGACAAATTCTGCCCACTGCCTGCAGTTCAATCCTGACCAGCTCAAGGTTAACTCAGCTTTCCATCTTTCCGAGGTTTGTAAAATGAAGACCCAGATAGTTTGGGGCAATAGGCTGACTCCATAAACCGCTCAGAGAGGGCTGTAAAGCACTGTGAAGTGGTACGTAAGTCTAAGTGCTGTTGCTAGTGCTATTCAGGGACCTATGACCACTTGTTGTCCTTCTCGACAACTCTCCACTCCAGACTTCTGAAACTTTTGACTGTTTCTGCTCAGCCCCCAGCGTTGTTTTCTTGGACCCAGGCCAAGGAACAGGCATGGCCAATGTCTTCCGTGGTCTCCATAGCAACCAGGGCATGCAAAAAGGACCAGGAATCCCCGCTTGCAATGACAAAACAACTTGACCCACTTTGAAAATAATCATAACAATAATGCTTGATGGAACGAACTGACCAGCGGCAATTCAGAACCTCGCGAGACCCTCCCTCTAAGCTTTCGGGAGAAGTCGCTTCAGATATATACCAGCCCAGGAGACGAGCAATAGGTAGTCGGAGAGAATTTTCAACCAAAGGCCTTGTGGGGGGAAGCAATATCTTAAAATTGTGTTTGTGTGTGTGTGTGTTTGTGCATGCCCACAGGCACGTGTGCAGGAGACACAAATATTTCCACCAGGGGTGGGCTGCTGGAGTTACACAGGGGTCCAAGAGAGCCCCTCGCTAAGATTCTGCGCAGTTCAGAGAACCCCCAAATCCCACTCCTGGCTGGTCCTGCTCACCCCTCCATTCCCCTCCCAGGAGTCCCCAGGTGGCCCATTTTGGATGCAGGTGAGTGCAGGGCATGCGCGGAGGCTCGGGGAGGGTGAAAAATGGGCCTCCCAAAAGTTCCTCCCGTTTCCAGCTTCCAGAGAGCCTCCGGAGCCCGGGGTGGGAAAAAACGCCCCCCCCAGGCGTAGTGCAGGAGGCTGACTAGGCCAAGCCCACCCCTGATTTTCATCCATTTTGATCATGAGGGGAAGCTTACAATTTGGGTTTCCTATGAATAGAATAGAATAGAATAGAATAGAATAGAATAGAATAGAATAGAATAGAATAGAATTCTTTATTGGCCAAGTGTGATTGGACACACAAGGAATTTGCCTTGGTGTAAATGCTCTCAGTGTACATAACAGAAAAGTTACTTTTGTCAAGAGTCAAGAATCATCAGGTACAACACTTAATAATAGTCATAGGTTACAATGAGCGATCAAATCATACTAGGAAACAGTCAATATAGAATAGAAGGGAATGGAGTGGAGTGGGATAGGGTAGGGTAGGGTAGGGTAGGGTAGGGTAGAATAGAATAGAATAGAATAGAATAGAATAGAATAGAATAGAATAGAATAGAATAGATTTATTGGCCAAGCGTGATTGGACACACAAGGAATTTGTCTTGGTGCAAATGCTCTCAGTGTATATAAAAGAAAAGATACATTCGTCAAGAATCATCAGATACAACACAATGATAGTCATACGGTACAATAAGCAATCAAATCATGCTAGGAAACAGTCAATATAAATAGTAAGGATACAAGCAACAAGCTACTTCTAAGATATCCACAAGAAGTTCTTCCAGCCAATATTCCACATTCAAACGATTCGAAGGGATGCCCTTCCGTCATTTTCTGGGTTTTAATTCCAAAGTCCAGACAACTAACCTGAAGTCGCCTAAGACAAACCAATTCAGCTGCTTTCAAATATCGCCAACGCAAAGACAACTTAAGACAACTTTCTTCTGTGACATGATGGCATTCTGTGGTTAGCCAGGCCATGAGGCCAACCTACGTCCTAGGATTATATACTTTTAGGAGCAAACTTCATTCCCCTCACGTCCTACACTGTGGTTTGAGAAATAACAGGCTTTGATCTTCTGTGCGACAAACTTTTAGGATTTTGGAGACCATCGTTCTAATTCTAAACAATCTTAACTTTAATTTCTTTTTTATGAAGACACTTTTAGTCTTCTACTGATCCTTGCCGCCTTTCTCCAAATGTTTTCCTGTAAGTGGGGGTGCCCAGAATAGGACAATATACTCAAAGTAGGAGCTGCCCTACCCAATCTAAAAGTTGAGTTCTTTCTTCTTGTGGTCTATAAACTACCTCAGTTAGAACATTTATCATTTTATATATATATATATATATAGGGGCTTTACTGTTTCATTCCACGTGGAATGTGGAGCGATTCAGTATTTACACAGCAATTATCGGCTTTTAGTAAAGGTGTTAAAGGGGAAGACAACGACTGAAGAGAGCTCTAGTTTGTGTCAATTCCCTCAGAAGCTGCAGGGATTCAGAGGAAGCTACCCTAGACAGGATTGAGTAAAATAAATAATCTTGAAGCATTCTGCCTCATAGCTTATTATGAATTTTTAAAATATTAATCTTCTCAAGTAGACCAAAGTGTCTTCGTCCCTTCACCTTCCTTCCTCTCCTTTCTTTTCTCCTTTCTTCTTTCCCTCCCCACTCCTTCCTTTCCTCCCTCCTTCATCTTACCTTCCTCCCTTTTCACCTTCCTTCCTTCTCCTTCCTTCCTTCTTTCCTTCCTTCCTTCATCTTTCCTTCTCTTCTCCTTCCTTTGTCTTTCCTTCCTCCCCCTTTTCTCCTTGTCTCTTCCTTCCTTCCTTTCTGCCTTCCCTCCCTTTTCCTTTCTTTTGTCTTTCCTTCCTTCCCCTTCTTCTTTTCTCCTTCTTTCCTTCCTCCTTCCCTCCCTATTTTACTCTCACTAATGACAGCTACAGTACACATTAAGGAAAGCAAGTCCTTCTTCTCATGAACCTTTTTTTTTTCTCGGTCTGTTTCCACACCATGCAGGACTGAACACTATTGTGGCATCTTTCCTTGAGGCAGTCTGAAGGAGCTCTCCTCGCCTCTCCCGGTACAGGAAGGAGAAGGGAGGACAAGAGAGAAAGTTGTCCCTCTCAGAGACAGAAGATCTAGGGAGCTTCTGGCCACCTTGCCAGCAGGGCTGTCTTAATGGTCGTACTTGCCTGTGGGCCCCACAAGCATAGAGGCCCCCATACTAACCTCTGTATATTAACCCTTCAGTGCACCTTGTATCATATAAAGACGGCAACATATTTATTACATTGTATTGCATTTTGGGGGGACACGGGGGCTCAGTGGCTAAGAGACGCTGAGCTTGTCGATCAGAAAGGTCGGCAGTTTGGCGGTTCGAATCCCTAGCGCCGCGTAACGGAGTGAGCTCCCATTACTTGTTTCAGCGTCTGCCAACCTAGCAGTTCGAAAGCACGTAAAAAAAACGCAGCGTTCAGTGCGCCTTCAGCGTTTAGTCCTGCCAGCCACATGACTACAGAGATGTCTTCGAACAGCGCTGACTCTTCAGCTTTGTAACGGAGATGAGCACCGCCTCCTAGAGCCGGAAACGAGTAGCACGTATGTGCGAGGGGAACCTTTATCTTACTGCGTTTTTTAAATTAATGCTAACATGCAAATAGGTGTTTCACTTTATCAACCATTGATATTTTTATTCCTGTGAGTAGTTGTCATAGGGGCCCAAGGACACTGCTTTGCCCAGGAGGGCCCATAATGCTGTGAAGACAGTCATGCTCGCCAGCTTTGTGAAATGACCAATGGAAGACCATAGAGCAACAGCCCTGAAGCAAGATGGATTCAGTCTATTCCAGGTCTCCTCTCCAACACGCCTTCCCACTCCCCTTCAAGGCCTCCTCCATATTCCCGTCGTACCCATGGAGCGCAATGTCATTTCGGCGGGTCGTCATGAGTTAATTTGTACAGACTTGTCACTGTGGGCAGAGTGGCAGATCCAGCCAATCGGGAAAGCTGGCCGGCTTTGCATTTTCATGCCGAGCGTCTTTTTATTTGGGAGGGGAGGACAGTTTATCAATGAAAGGCAATAAAGTCACTCTGAGCTTCAGGATGCTATCCCCGACATTCCTTCCACAGAGTTAAAATGCATTCTCCCCCCCTCCATACCCCAACCCGCTTCAAACCCCCTTGAGCAAAGATTTATCCTTCCACCTTTCCTCCTCCG